TGAATATATATTATTGCTACTTTAACATCAAACGGTATAAAGTTGACAAAGGATCATAATTATGTATGTGTTTGTAGGAAATAATAGCGTTAAATTAGAAAAGTTTGAAGAAAATAGAACAAAAACTTCGTTTTATAATGAATCCTTTGCTTCACTTGGAGACAGTTTATACAAGGCAAGACAATCAAATTTAATAACTTTTCCCATTAATAGACAATACTTTTGTGAAAGTCTAAGGTATACTAATTTGATTTACTAGCATTCTTCTTACATTCGATACTTCGTTACGGTATCTCCTTCAGGATTACAACGGTCGCTACGTACCCGGGCTCGTAAGTTTTTAGCTTCCGTTAAAACCCACTTCCGGTATAAGCTCATGAAACGAGACGGTATTCCTCGGTCTAACGAGTTTTCCGCGTCCGTGAATAGTTATTCGTTGCCAAAGGATTTCTTGGTTTTGCTGTGACTTTGCTAAATTTCTGCCCTTCGGGCACCTACGAAGGTGGCTCTCATAAGAGCAGAAACGAGATCAACCCTGATGCGAGGCCACCAGGGTATTAATATCGACACGCGGTTTAACGCTCGTGAATGTATCCAGATATTCGATCAATGCGCCGTTACATTCTCGGAAATCCCTGTCTTATTTGATATCCTTGCAAACGCGTACTACCGTTAATACGATTTTAATGGAGTTTAACGAATATCCGAAACGTGTCTCTGAAGAGAAATATGCATATATTATATATTTCTATTAATAAAGTAGCTGCATAAGATTAGCAGCGTAGTTGTTAATATTATATTGCGTTCCTAATACAAATTTTCTACGTAAATAGATATCAAAAGTTACATATATACGGTTACATATATAAATATTTATCTTATTTTGCATGGATATATTTTGAAAAATATATGTGCCTTGTATTACATTTAGAGTAGTATTAAACTGAAATATTCAAAGAGATTTATAATACATTATTTATATTACATTTAATAATTATGCACATTGTGTATAATCATTGGATTATTTGGAGAATTTCTATCTTTTCGTTTGGTTGATAATTTTTTCTCTCTCTTTGTTTTTATATGAAAATTTTAAAATTGAACTTTATGCGTTTATTTTTATTGTACGAATGAAATGCTCTCGCGGGAATCGATGATCGCGGAATAAAAAGCGGGCGTGCTCTGCACGTGGCGCGAACTTCGCTAAATTATGCAAGTGCTAAAAGAACTTTTGGGACTAACAAGTCGTATCGTAGCGTGGAAAATAGCGTGCACAAGAAGACGTTGAAGCGAAAGGCAATTTGGGTTCAAACACTGTGAAGAAGAGCTAGGAAAGGCACCTTCAAAGCGGCAGAAGGGAATAAGGATCATTGATGTTCGTCTAGGCGGAGGGTTAAATAGTCCGAAGGCGCGCGTAACCGAGACATCGAATTGCGAGCGTTGGCTAAATGTTGCGGTCGAAGGTCTAGGACACTATACATATAATTAATTTTGCGACAGTTTAAGGATCGATGCACACTCGCCCGAATAATTAGTCGCTTATGCATGTAATGTGAGCATATTAGTAGTATTCGATAGTATAATTAACAGTATTAATAACGATAAATTATAGAAATAATGACTCATAATAAATGTGTACATAACAATAATGAAATATCGATATTTACTTTTATCTTCTGTAAAACACAGTAATGTATAAAACACAATATAAATAGAAATCTTGTAACCTTTTTAGTGCTATGGACGTGTAAACATGTCTAGCACACTGTGAGTGCACGAGTTTACGCGTTCGCTGAATCGACCACTGAAAGCGTTATGGTAGTTTACCAGCCTTAAAAGTAATAAAAAAAGCATTAAACAAAAGCTCAAGTGTGTCACAGAATAAAATATTCTGCGATTGTATGATCTATTTGTCAAAAGTATTCGGCACTGAAAGGATTAATAACATTGAATAAAAAGTTTTTGTCTTATAAATTCTTTCCATTATATTAAACTTGATAATTTAATTTATATATTTTTATTACAAATGTTTTTAAATTTATTTAATTGTAAATGTTATTAATTTATTTAGCTTTTATCTTTATCAAGTTGTCGACGGTTATTTTTTTTGCCAGTGCGCATAAAAATTTATAAGAAGCGAAAACAATCGAAGTACAACATTACGAAAAAAAGATAGAAGTATGGAAAATTGTGACCGCTACCGAATTGATAAAATTGAAAAACTGAATCTCTAAAAGATGAATTTATATTTGTATGTTCGCAATTTTATGCTGATAGTAATATTTATTTTACAAACGAAACAATTCTATATATTGTTATTGGCACATTATGGCAATGAAATGCTGATGATTAAAATACGTGTGGAAAATGCGAGGAAAATTGATCAAGCTTGCAACTCCCAATCACAGAAAACTTGACACATACATATGTATATATGCTATTCCATACAACGGCAATAAGCTCTTTGTAATCTTCCTGACTGCTATATGAGTTACTAACAAACGGAATTTTGTTGTTGTCACTCTGCTCTATGCACGTAGTCCAAATCCGTCCGACCGAGCAACGATCTGTTCTACTGGCACACTCTCTGTTTTATTCTGCATTCGACAGAAAAAAACAACGCAAAAGAGCGCAAGAGAGGACGAATAAACAAAGGGAAATACAATCCCGTAGCTTGATTCACTCTGTCATGAATGCGTACGGCCAGTGTTCCTTTTTCATTAACTTCACCAATTTACCTTGGCTCCTTTTTTCTCTTTTTTGTTCTCCAGCAAGTACGTGCAATTGCAGTTTCATCGAACTTTCGACGATTTCGATAAACTTTACATCTTCAAACGTTTTAAATGAGGTAGTATCTTATCGATATAATTCACTTCTGAGGAACAAAATAAACTACGTATACTGAATTAGGTAGAATCTTATCGATCAGTATTTATATTCATATCTTTTGCCGATTATTCTTAAAATCGAAAATTAACTTTTCAGGAAACAAGAAATGATTTAACTGACCTCGCAGTTACTCTTAAAGTATAATCTTCGATTTTTCTGCTATGTTGAAAAAACTTTTCGGATCACCGGTCAGGATGGCCATTAAGGACTTTTTCCTTGGCCGATCGGAAGACACCGGTAGCAACCCTCTCTTAGCGGTCCATCCTCGTCTCCATTCACAAGCTTGCGTAGCGGCAACGTAGCACTGTTATCAGGGGAAGGAGGAGGGGAGTGGAGAAAGGCGGAGGGTGTCCGCGAAGAGTGGTATGCTAGCGTGGAAGGTTTGGTATTTCCCTCTAACCTCCACCTGTGCCACCCGGCACGGCCAAGCGACCCTTGGTACTCACGCCTCCCACCCAATTGGGGATTCGATCGACGTCGGCGGGAACTTCCAGCCGTGACCACACAACCCCATGGTGGCGCCTCTGTCGGGGCACCCCGTAAACACGGCGAGAAGCTGCTAGCGACGGAGGGATGAACGGAGAGAGAGAGAGAAAGGCAGGGGGTGAGAGTGAGTGAACAAGAGAGAAGAGGGAGCGAGAGAGAGAG